GTGTTAAATGAGAAACTATTTTGTTCTGTAAGCCTTCATCTTAAGTGAGAATAGCAGCACAATTGGAAGAGCATAGTCAATGTCACTAAACTGTGCATGTAGAAATTTTTGAAATGGTGTATGCTTGGCTATATGTATTTTCACCAAAAAAAAAAGGTTGAGAAGTTAGAGGGTTGACATGTTGTGGGGTTGTTAACCAGTGTCATAAAACAATACGTGTACTACTGTTTCATGAGAAACTATTTGTTCTGTAAGCCTTCACCTGAAGTACAATAAAAAAAAAAAAATTGGTGGTTCAAACCTACCAGCCGCTCCATAGGAGAAAGATGTGGCAGTCTGCTTCTGTAAAGATTATAGAACCCTATGGGAAATTCTACTCTGTCCTATAGGGTCGCTATGAGTCAGAATGGACCCAACGGCAATGAGTTTGATTTTTTTTTTAGTATCTACCCTACTGGGTTTTGTGAAGACCACATGGAGTTATTGCTAAGGATGGCACCTGTACACAGTCAGCACTCAGAAGCTGACTGCTGGTATTATCATGACCAAAATCCTAAACTCCTGAAGGGGCAAGATGAAGTGTTCTTGGAGTAGCAAGTACAAGGCCAGTCAGACCACACCAAACCTTTGTTTCTTCATCTATTAAAAACTCTTGGTTTTACATGATGCTTGTAAAGCTTAAACACAATTATGGGTTAGTGTAGGTACAGCTGGGACATAACCTCCTCTATGAAGCCCTTCTGGGCCTCCCTCCCCGAGCCTATGCAGACTTCATCCCAGAGCCCATGACTGATCTCCAAGCCCATCTCTGACCTTGAAGGGTGCAGCTTTGGGTCTCCAGTGCCAGGCATGAGCCGGGTATGGAGTTTGCTGAATCGAACGACACCCTGGCAGGCTGGCCCAGGAGAAAGAACACTAGAGAGATACCATGAGACCGCACTCAATAACCTGGGCCCCTGGAGCCACTCACTAAGCCTCCATTTCCCAAACTGGAAAATGGGCAGGGAAAACTCGATCACCTCCAAGGTTCCTAATACCCAACACAGATATTCCTGGGTGCTGTGATTCTGCACGGAGACTCCAGCGTGAGAGGCCACTGACCACACCACACCAGGGTTCAGGCCACGGGGTCTCCACAGAGGCCCCCGGAGCCCCTCATGAGAGAGAAGGAATGGAGAACTGCTGTTCAGCAGCTGTTGGCTCCAGGGTCTCAGACAAACAGAAGGGCTTCTCTGTGCCCTGACGTCAAGCAGCCCTGGCTTTTGGGCTCCGTCTGTTGGTCGTGTCCTTCCAGGCAGGGGCCTGCCTTTCAGCAAGCCACGCGTCACAAGACCCCAAACGAACTGGACACCCCCAAGGACCAGCCTAGCCACCAGAGCTGCCCTCTAGCATACTCTTAGCCCAAAAGGCAGATGATCAAGTCAAATTCTCAGCCTGCTCAATCCAGCCTCTTCCCACCATACCCTTCCAAATACGAGTACACTAACCACAGGTGCCCTCCTGTTTCCATTCCCGTGAACAGGCTGTTCACTTCCTCTCACTTGTCTAGAAATTGAACTCCTGCTCATCTGTCAAGACTCAGCATCCCTGAAGCTGAATAAGCTCATCCAGTCAAATGCTCAGCTCACAGCTCCACAAACAAATGGGGCCCCAAGGGTGAACACCTTGGCCTCCAGAAGATGGCGCTTATGCTGCGGTTTGCCAATGCTTTCTGCCTCCTACCTGGCCCCTACGAGTGCTGCCCTAGGCTGTGCACAGGGACACAGGCTCACCTCCACGCTGTGTCTCCTGGGTATATGTCTGTCTCACCGCGCCCCCTCCCTGACTGAGCACTCCATGAGGGCAGGGCCCAGCAACAGTGACAGTGTGCAAATGTGGAAGACTTTGACCTTGGCTTCTTCAGACCAGACATACTGCTTCTTCCTCTGCTTCGCCAATGCCCAACAGCTGGGAAAACTGAGCCGGGGCTTCGGTGACCCATGTTCCTCTACCATACAGAGTACCCTGAGGCCCAACACTCCCACTCCGAGGCAGGTGTCTCTCCTGCTAGGCCTGGTGGGCCTTTGAAGGCAGGCACAGCAGCTAGGTGGACAATATTAGGGGCTAAGACTATGTTCCCAGCCTCTGATACATTTCCATCACAGCAAAAGCAGAACACAAGCTGATCAGTCAGAAACTCCAGAGGCCCAGGTGCCTACAGTTACCGTGTGTGTGTGTATTTGTGTGTGTCTGTCTGTCTGTCCCTGGAAACCTTAGTCTAACCCCTAGCCGGAACACTCATGGGTCCTACCCGGGGCCTTAGCTGCTCACCCTTGGCCTTAGCCCAAAGCTGCCCTGGGGACCCACAGCTCTCTAGCCAGATGGCTGTGAGGACCCAGTGCTCCTTGGTGGAAGCCAAGCCTGTAGGCTGCTCCAGGAGAAGGTCCAGGGATATAAGCCTCCCTGGGGAAGATGCTGGTGAAGGTCCAGTACAGGAGGAGAACATGTTCCCAGTGCATCATGCAGCCATTGGTGGGTGGGACAGGAAGCACATAGATGTAAGAGAGAAGGCTGGCTAAGCCTGCTTTGACCTCAGAGCACACATGTCGCCACCTGTTAGTATGTATGACACCAGACCGTGTGGTATGAAAGGCACATCTAACGCCTCAGGAAGGGGACTGGGGCACCTGGTGAGCACGAGGGGCCCCTCTGCCAAGGTGCCCCGTGATGGGGGCACTGACCATCTTGACCAGTGGCCATGTCCATTAGCATTGGCCCCTCTCTCCTCAGCCAAAGGGGACTCTCAGCCAGCCCCCAGGTAAGGAGTCTCTTTAGATCTCTCCCAGGACAGTGAGGAAGAGGGTGCTGTTCTATCAAGAGGTGGGCTGGAGCGTGGCCTGTGGCCAGTGGGAACTCACCATGCACTTGTTGGGCTTCTCGCCAGAGTGCACCCTCATGTGGATGAGCAGCTTGTAGCGGGCGTTGAAGGGCTTGTAGCGCCGCACGCAGCCAGCCCAGAAGCAGGTGAAGTCCTCGCCCTTGCGCTGGTCAATGTGGCTCTTCTCGATGTGCCGCACCAGCTCCTCCTGCTGTTCGTAGGCTGCACAGCAGTCCACCCAGCGGCATGCCTGCCGCCCGGCCACGACCCTGCCTACCAGGCCCAGCCCCAGGCCTCCAGGGCCTGGGCCGGGTGGCAACTGAGACAGAGGGTAGGGGGGCGGCAGGCCCTGCTGATGAGACCCGAAGAGATCTGAGAACTCGTCCGCAGGCTCCTGCTTCAGGAAGCTCCCCTTCGGGCAAGTTTCAAGTTGCAAGCTACCCTCGTGGCTCTCAGTGGCTGCAAGGCTAGGCCGGGCCCGCCTGGAGGGGCCCCCCAGGTCTCCTGGCAGAGGGGGGCTCCGGAGTCCATTCACACAGGTGACCAGAGCCGTCTGGGAGGAACGGATGATGGAGGTGAGGTTGAGGCCCTCAGAAGAGGCACAGGGTGAAGAGGAGGCTGAGGAGGTGGCAGGCAGGCCCAAGAGGCAGCAATGCTTCAGGCTGCCCTCGGGGAGATGGGCCTCAGGTGGGGGGCCTAGGCCAGAGCTGGGCTCACTGCCCAGAAGGTAGCAGGAAGGTGCGGGGTTGGCGAGGCCTCGGCCCGACAGGTCCAGGTCTGTGTGCAGGCCAGTGGCTGGCGGGACCCGGCAGTGGGCAGACAGGGGTGTGCGAGCTTCCACCATGGCCTGGTAGTCAGGCAGGGCCTCCTGCTTGATGTGCTGTGCGGCTGGGAGGCCGCCATTCACATATGTGGTTTGGGGTCTGGGTGACCTGAAAGACAGCAGCCAGAGAAGTCATGAGAAGTCAGGCAGTCTGGAGGGTGAGGCCCAGGTAGGGGATGGCAGGGAATCTGAAGACTGAGGGATGGAGAAGCCCAGAGCCAGAGAGGGAGGCTGAGAAAGACAGACACCAGAGACTGATTGACTGGTGAGAAGGAGGGTGGAGGAAGAAGGGGAGAGAGAGGAAACGAGGAGGGATGGGGAGGGGGCTCAGGAAAGGCAGGAGTTCTGAACAAGGAAATACTGCTTCATCCTTTAGCCAAATCCAGCCATTGATTATATACATACAATAGAATATTACTCAGCCAAAAAGAGAAATGAAGCCCTATGTATGCCACAACATGGATGAACCTTGAAATCATTGTGCTGAGCAAAACACAAATACTGTATGATCTCACTTAATGAAACAAGCAAATATATAGAAACCAAAGCTTATTAGTGGTTACCAGTGGTAGGAGGGAGGGAGAAAAAGGGAGTTTTCTCTTAGGGGTCATTGGGTTTATGTTAATGATGGTGGAATAATTTGGAAAAGGATAGCAATAATGGTTGCACAACATGAAGAATTTAACCAATGTCACTGGATTAAACATGTAGAAATTCTTGAATTGGCAAATGTTGTATTGCATATATTTTCACCACAATTGAAACAAAAAATCCAGCCATTAATGCCATCCTGTCCTGCCTCCAAGGCCTGACATCCTTCCTCATGATCCCACACACCAGTGAGGTCTGTGGGAAGAAGACTGTGGATGATATTCTGAGGGAAATCCAGGTCCACTTGTTTTAAATTTCACTTGTAAGTTCCTTAATTTTTGTAATATTTTTTAATTTCTAAAAGTGTTAATTGTATAAAGTTCACCCCAAGTTTTTCACTATTAATGTCAGTGTGTTGGGTGGTGGGGGTTGGGGATTGAAGGGTAAGAGGAACCTTCAGAAATAACTGAGGAAAAACTTCTCAGGAGGATGTCCCAGAATTTTAAGCCCAGATACCATGAGACCCCTGATTGTATAAACCCACAATTCTGGGGAAAAGCAATGTGGCAAGCCAAGAGGGGCAGCAACCGGGAGGCAGGAGATCTGGGTTCCAGGCCACGCTCAGCCACATCCCAGTTGTGCAAACTTGGGCAAGTTACTTCATCGTTCTGAGGCTCTCCTCTCATCCACAACACTGGAATGATTCTCTTTATGAGAGTGAGGATGGTGCAGATAGGCAGGGATAGGGTTTGCCATGGTGGTTGTCCTCATCACATCTGTGGTACACTGGTTTTTGGACAGAGCCTCCTCCAAGTGTGGGGGCCATTCCCTCTGCTCACTTCACAGAGGGCCAGGTTTAAGAGAGAAAAGGTAATTTCTGCACTTGAGTTCCCACCATCCCAGGCTGGCTTGGGAGTAAACAAGTAAAGTACAGGTAAATATACTAGAACCTGAGAACCGGAGAGGCCAGCAAGGTGACGCTGAGCTGAGGGTCAGAGAAGCCCCCTGCTGGGCGGCTGGGTAGCAGCAGCCTAACAGACAAGAAACCTAGTAGGACTAGGACACATCACATGACGGCACCCTTGCCTGAGCCTCAGTTTCCTCACCTGTAAAATGAAGACTAACTTTCTCTACCTCATAGGATGGCAGGATCAAGTGAGATGGCTGGGCAAATGGTGCTATTATTACTGCTATTATTACCCCCACTGTCCTGGGGCTCGCTATTATTACCCGCACTGTCCTGGGCTCTTTCCAGCCAGGGCTGTGGGAACATTGGGTTTCTGTTGAAGGGTGCCTATCCCTCTGTTTCCCAAGATGGGCTGAGTACTGGGGAGGCCTGCCCTGAAGCCCTGCCCAGGGTTCCCTGCAGCTGTAGCACCCCCAGCTCCAGCCATGAGGTGGAGTGGAGGGGAAGTGGTGGAGGAAGAAGGGTGTCAGAGCCAGGAAGCCCTCAGAGAGTATCGCCTCCAATCCCATCACTTAACAGCCAAGAGGGCATACCACAGAGCTTGCCCACGGTCTCGCAGTCGCAAACAGTGACAGGGTCTGGTCCAGAATTCAGGCTCCCCTTCTCCTACATGTGAGTATTTTTCCATATATAGAACTGACCTGATGCTCTCCCTGGATGAAGGCAATTGTGTGTGTGGGAGTGGGTGGGGTGAGTGGGTGGGGATTCTAGTTGTTTCTCAAATACACTTGAACAATGTCCTCTGCCTCACTCACCAGTGCCCTCTCTTCCCTCCCAAGAACTTTGTTGCCCAGAGCACTGCTCAGTCACCAGGTGGAGTCAGAAGGAACTTCAATTCTGAGACAGACAGCAAACCCACAACCTCCCTTCCCAGGGCTGAGGACGCTCTGGACCACCATTCTCAACAGAAAACTCCAAGGATCTTAAAGATCTGATAACAAAGTTGTGAGTTCACAGAGCTAAAAAAAATAAATAAGAGCCCAGCTGCTCCTTGCAGGGTTGAGATTCTGGGCCTGGTGAGATGTGGGCATCAGCTAGGAAGGCATCCAGGGAGGCATCTGTTTGGAGCAATCACTTTGAAAATACGATGAGATTAAATCAACCAACACAGCAGAAGAGAAAAGCTGTAGCTTTCTGTGACTGAGTCATCGAATAATTGACAGCAAAAGTTTGAATGGCATTAAATGAAATAGAGAATAGAAAAACAACTGAAAGAGTTAACAAGACCAAAAGCTGGTTCTTTGAAAAGATCAACAAAATCGATAAACCACTGGCCAAACAGACAAAAGAAAAACAGGAAGGAAGCAAATAACCCGAATAAGAAAAGAGATAGGCAATATCACAATAGACCCAACTGAAATTAAAAGACTCATAACAGAATACTATGAAAAACTGTACTCTTAACAAAATTGAATACCTAGAGGAAATGGACAAATTTCTAGAAACTCACTACCTACCTAAACTAACACAAACAGAGGTAGAACAACTGAATAAACCTATAATAAAAGAAGAGATTGAAAAGGTAATTTAAAAAACTCCCAACAAAAAAAAAAAAGCCCTGGCCCTGTCGGTTTCACTGGAGAATTCTATCAAACTTTCAGAGAAGAGTTAACACAACTACTACTAAAGGTATTTCAGAGCATACAAAAGGATGGAATACTCCCAAACTTATTCTATGAAGCCAGCATAACCTTAATACCAAAACCAGGTAAAGACACCACAAAAAAAGAAAATTACAGACCAATATCCCTCATGAACATTAACACAAAAATCCTCAACAAAATTCTAGGCAATAGAATTCAACAACATATTAAAAAAATAATTCACCATGATCAAGTGGGGTTTATAACAAGTATGCAGGGATGGTTCAACGTTAGAAAAACAATCAATGTAATCCATCACATAAATAAAACAAAAGACAACCACATGATTTTATGAATTAGATGCAGAAAAGGAATTTGACAAAGTCCAACACCCATTCATAAAAAAAAACTCTCAGCAAAATAGGAATAGAAGGGAAATTCCTCACCATAATAAAGGGCATGTATACAAAGCCAACAGCCAACATCATCCTAAATGGAGAGAGTCTGAAAGCATTCCCCTGTGAGAATGGGAACAAGACAAGAATGCCCTTTATCACCACTCTTATTCGACATTGTGCTGGAGGTCTTAGCCAGAGCAATTAGGCTAGAAAAAGAAACAAAGGACATCCAGATTGGTAAGGAAGAAATAAAAGTATCTCTATTTGCAGATGATATGATCTTATACACAGAAAACTCCAAAGAATTCACAAGAAAACTACTGGAACTAATAGAAGACTTCAGCAAAGTATCAGGATACAAGATAAACATACAGAAATCAGTTGGATTCCTCTACACCAAAAAAGAGAATTTTGAAGAGGAAATCAGCAAATCAATACCATTTACAATAGCCCCCAAGAAGATAAACTACTTAGGAATAAATCTAACCAGAGACATAAAAGACCTATACAATGAAAACTACAAGACACTACTGCAGAAACTAAAAGAGACTTACATAAGTGGAAAAACATACGTTGCTCATGGATAGGAAGATTCAACATTGTGAAAATGTCAATTCTACCCAGAGCAATCTACAGATACGATGCAATCCCGATCCAAATTCTAATGGCATTTTTTAATAAGATGAAGAAACAAATCACAAACTTTATACGGAAAGGAAAGAGGCCCTGAATAAGTAAAGCATTATTGAAGAAGAAGAACAAAGTGGGAGGCCTCACGTTACCTGATTTTAGAACCTATCATACTGCCACGATAGTCAAAACAGCCCGGTACTGGTACAACAACAGACACACAGACCAATGGAACAGAATTGAGAATCCAGATGTAAATTCATCCACCTATGAGCTGCTGATATTTGACAAAGGCCCAAAGTCCATTAATTAGGGAAAAGACAGTCTCTTTAACAAATGGTGCTGGCATAACTG